CGGCCTTCCGACGGCCCGAGACGGCCCAAGAGCCCCCAAAGATCTCCGAAAGATCGCCCAAGAGGCCTCCAAGACGGCCAAGATGACCTTCAAGATGCCCACGTGTTCCCCGAAGGCTTTCCAAACCGATTCGGGGAACACATGGTCCGATGGCTTGGCAGGTCTGGCCTCAACGTTCGGCCACATAGGCGCTTCCAAAAAGGCAGGGGGCGGCGGTGGTTCGCCGTAGGCGTCTTCGATAGCACTCGATCAGCCGGGAGGCATCCAGCTTGCTCACCGAGCTGAAGGCGGTGCCGCGCGACGGGTTCACTGCCAAAGGCTCGCCACCGTCCACATCGTACACGGGGAACGCGCTCACGCCGACCGTCAGCAGCACCGCCGAGCACGCGCGGCTCAAGAAAGCCATCCTTTGCAGACACTGGTGCTGGATGTCGCGGCGGAGGGCGCTGCCGAAATACCTGCAAGAGAACCCTCACCCTCGATCGAACAGAAAAACGGCTACGATCAGCATGAAGAGGATACAGTCGGACTTGATTGGAGAGGACACGCGAGATGACAAAAGACCCTTTCCGAGGGACACAATGCCATAGGAATGCATCGGCTGCACGTAAGAGTGACCCTGGGTAAGAGTGACCTTTGGTGCGCGGCTTTTTCGGGGGCGCGAGGAGGCCAAACACAAGCGCGCAAGACGCTAATGTCGCAACGAGCGCGGCGATCGGGGGACCCCAGTGAGCGCGCACCAAAGGTCACTCCGGCGCAAGGTCACTCTTACGTGTAGCCGAATGCAGAAGGCACGGGTCGCAAGACACAGGACACGAGGGTACCCTTGATCTGGCAAGGTCGACCTACTAATCCGGGCCGCCTGTGCGTAAACATTCCCAGCCCGCCGCTCTGCGGTTGACTGGAAGTTTTCGTAGATTGACCGTTGCTGGGGGGTGCTTGCGTCTTGTTCAGGCCTGCTGAGGCTCATCTTGGGCCCTCTGTCATATCTTGCGGCTCGTCCATGTTCGGTCTTGACGCATCTTGGACCACATTTGAGGCCTGTTCGGGGTCTGGGTGCCGATTCCGTGATGAACTCCCACGCGAAAGCGCCAGCTGGCCGCTCAGTGCCTCCCGAAGTTCCGCAGAACTCGCCGAGGCCTGCCCGGACTCCGGAATGCCTTCAGGGACTTCTCGATGCCTGGGGCCTGGGTGTCGGCGGCACCTAGTCCCTTCAGAAATTGCTCCCGGCAGCCGCCAGAAGCTCCGTTGGAGCCTCGGGGAAGCCCCAGGGCGCCCCTCAAGGTGGCCCCAAAGACCCGCAGATGCAGCCAAGCCAAGGCCGCCAAGACAGCAAGCAAGCAAGCAGAGAGCTCCGACACCCTGACCCCCTCCCAGGAAAAAAAACAAGCAAGCAAACGACGGGCCAGTCCCTTGCACCTGAGAGCGTGAGTCGCCTCCCTGCTATGACCTCCCACGCGAAAGCGCTAGTTGGAAGGCCACCACCAAAGTCGAAGCATTGCAGGACTCCTCATTAACTGCATCAGGGAGCGCGGTTGATGGTCTTGCTTCCTCACTAAGGATTGAGACGACGCAAATAGACAAAGACCGACCCTCTCAAAATGAAGAAGCATGACAGCCGCTTGATGCTCAAGACCAGTGGATCTTCAAGACGCGCTTGCAGTGGCCCCAACAAAGCTGGTCAGGCGGGTCGCTTCAGAATCACGAACCCCACAAATCCACTGCAAGAAGCACTCGAGAAAACAAACATCTGATCATTCACTTCCTTGAACTACGCCCCGAAGGGTCGGGCGAAGGGCTGACCCGGCCCAGCCATCCACAGCTGGGGGAGCTGCGATCTGGGTAGGCCATCGTATCGACGATCTCTGCGGGGGCGTGTCGAAGCCGATTGTGTCCCCCGAGGGAGCGATTGACTCGAGGCATCCCATACGGCGTCAGAGTGGATGGGGTCGGAGGACCGCGCCGCATCGTCGATGCATCACCGATACCGATGCATTGCCCACGCATCGGCGATGCATCGGCGACGTCGGCGACGCATAGGCGAATGCGGCGTGGAGACAATCGGGCTCCGTATCGAGCCGCACCGCGGATGCCTCGGCGATGCGGGGCGATCCTCCGACCCCATCCCCACTCAGACCCCCCCCTGCACATGCGGCATTGGCCTCCGGCGCTGCACTGGGGAGATCCCCGTTCCACCCGGGTGGGCCGCGGCCTGCCGACGAGCGCAGGTCCTTCCCCTCGCCCTCCTCGCCCTCCTCCTCCTCGCCCCCTCGCCCTCGCTCCCTCGCCCTCCTCCCCCCTCCTTGCCCTCCTCGCCCTCCTCGCCCTCCTCCTTCCCCTCAGCCTCCTCGCCCTCCTCCCCGTCGTCCTCCCTCTCGCAGGGGAGCATAAAACAGGGCTAGGATCAGGATAAATCGCTCCAGAGCGTTCCGGAGCGCTCTCAGAGCGTTCCGGAACGCTCTGGAGCGGCCGCGGCGCCCAATACATCCTCCAAACCCGCCGATTCTCAGAGATTTCGAATTATCCCGATCCGATTTTGTCCCGATCTTCGCGTCGTTTGAGAGCAGGAGGTCATGCACCGCTCGGCACCGGCCGGCCCTGGGCCGCCCACGGCGCTCAGCCTCGAGAGCGCCACGCGCTGGGGGGCCGCCGGTGCGCCCGCGCGCGGCCTGCCGCGCGAGCCACGGCGCCACCCCGCTGGCCGCGGCCAGTCAAGGGGCCCCAGAGCACACAAATAAAGACACACAAATAATTATCCCGGCAAAGCAACCTGACAGCGATGTGTTGGAGCACATCTGAAAGCATTCCCCTTGAGATTCAGATGAGAATCCAGTTGTAGAATTCTGCTGTTCTCGCAGTCGTAGTCGCATTCGCGATGACAGTCGCAGTGGCAACGGCAGTCGCAGTCACAGCTTCAGCCTCAGCCTGCCTCAGCCTCAGCCTCAGCCTGCCTCAGCCTCAGCCTGCCTCAGCCTCAGCCTCAGCCTGTTTCAGCCTCAGCATCAGTCTGCCTTCAGCCTCGGCCTCAACCTCAGCCTGCCTCAGCCTGCCTCAGCATCAGCCTCAGCCTCAGCCTCAGCCTGCCTCAGCATCAGCCTGCCTCAGCCTCAGCCTCAGCCTGCCTCTGCCTCAGCCTCAGCCTGCCTCAGCCTCAGCCTGAGCCTCAGCCTGCCTCGGCCTCAGCCTCAGCCTCAGCCTGTTTCAGCCTCAGCCTCAGTCTGCCTCAGCCTCAGCCTGCTTCAGCCTCAGCCTCAGTCTGCCTCAGCCTCGGCCTCAGCCTCAGCCTGCCGCAGCCTCAGCCTGCATGAGCCTCAGCCTGAGCCTGAGCCTCAGCCTCAGCCTCAGCCTGCCTCAGCATCAGCCTGCCTCAGCCTCAGCCTCAGCCTGCCTCAGCCTCAGCATCAGCCTGCTTCAGCCTCAGCATCAGTCTGCCTTCAGCCTCGGCCTCAGCCTCCGCCTGCCTCAGCCTCAGCCTGCATGACCTCAGCCTCAGCCTCAGCCTCAGCCTCAGCATCAGCCTGCCTCAGCCTCAGCCTCAGCCTGCCTCAGCCAGCCTGCCTCAGCCTCAGCCTCAGCTCAGCCTCAGCCTCAGCCTCAGTCTGCCTTCAGCCTCGGCCTCAGCCTGCCTCAGCCTCAGCCTGCCTCAGCCTCAGCCTCAGCCTGCCTCAGCCTCAGCCTGCCTCAGCCAGATCAGCCTTGGCCTCTGCCTCAGCCTCAGCTTGCTTCAGCCTCAGCCTCAGCCTTCAGTCTCGGCCTCGGCCTCAGCCTGCCTCAGCCTCAGCCTGCATCAGCCTCAGCCTCAGCCTCAGCCTCAGCCTCAGCCTCAGCCAGCCTGCCTCAGCCTCAGCCTCAGCCTCAGCCTCAGCCTCAGCCTCAGCCTGCTTCAGCCTCAGCCTCAGTCTGCCTTCAGCCTCGGCCTCAGCCTCAGCCTGCCTCAGCCTCAGCCTGCATCAGCCTCAGCCTCAGCCTCAGCCTGCCTCAGCCTCAGCCTCAGCCTGCAGCCTCAGCCTCAGTCTGCCTTCAGCCTCGGCCTCAGCCTCAGCCTGCCTCAGCCTCAGCCTCAGCCTCAGCCTCAGCCTCAGCCTGCCTCAGCCTCAGCCTCAGCCTGCCTCAGCCTCAGCCTCAGCCTGCTTCAGCCTCAGCCTCAGTCTGCCTTCAGCCTCGGCTTCAGCCTCAGCCTGCCTCAGCCTCAGCCTGCCTCAGCCTCAGCATCAGCCTGCCTCAGCATTCAAAATGTGGCCCGGGAATGGAGTTCTGGGAATTCGAAGAACACGAAGTGGCCTACAGTTGGCTCCGGGCATTCAAAATCATGCCCAGGAATGGAGTTCTGGGAACTCGAAGAGCACGAAGTGGCCTACAGTTGGCTCCGGGCATTCAAAATGTGGCCCGGGAATGGAGTTCTGCGAACTCGAAGAGCACGAAGTGGCCCACAGTTGGCTCCGGGCAGTCAGAATGTGGCCCGGGAATGGAATTCTGGGAATTCGAAGACCACGAAGTGGCCTACAGTTGGCTCCGGGCATTCAAAATCATGCCCAGGAATGAAGTTCTAGGACCTCGGAGACCGCGAAGTGTGTAACTGTTTGCTTAAAACGACTTCCGCGGGTACTCCCCGGTACCCGCCCAGACCCCCCTGGGGAGTCAAGATGCTTTCTTCTGACACTACTAGAAACCTATCAGTCTTCGCTGTTAGGTAAAAAGATTGCCCATATTTTCTGAGGCTTTGTCCTCCCCCCCACTTCCCATATTCTCGCATCTTTTCCGGGGGATCGACGATTCATTGTGTCTGTGTATTTTTCCCCTCCTGAGCCAGGCCCAGCGGCGGCGGAGCGGGACAGGCAGCCTCCTCCTCCTCCTCCTCCTCCTCTCCTCCTCCTCCTCCTCCTCCCCCTCCTCCTCCTCCCTCCTCCTCCCTCCTCCTCCTCCTCTCCTCCTCCTCCTCCTCCTCCTCCTCCTCCTCCTCCTCACCCTCCTCCTCCTCCTCCGCGGGGGGGCGGCCGCGCCTGGCCCAGGCGAGCGCCGCGCGCGCGACGGTGGTGGGGTCGGCCGCCACGGCGGACTCCGAGCCGCCCGGCGCGGGGAGGCCGGCGAGGGAGAGCACCTCGCGGGCGTTGAGCTTCACCACCTCGGCCAGGGCGCGGCGGCGCCGAGCTGGCCATCGCTCGGACGTCCATTCCCCGTGTTTTTTGTTCGGTTTCGAGCGTGGATTTTTTTTTCGCAAAACGTTCAAGGATGCTCCTCGACGATCCTCGCCGGAGGAAAAATGCACACGTCCGAGCGACGCCAGGCGAGGCCCAGGGCCAGGCCCAGGCGCGGCGGCGCCGAGGCCCAAGTAGGGGGGGCCACGTGCGAACCCTACCCCTACCCCCCACGATTTCAGAGGGGGGGTGGGGTTCACTTCGTTCGAGAGCTCCCGAACGGAATGAACCCCACCCTCCCCCTCAGAAATCGTGGGGGGTAGGGGTAGGGTTCGCACGTGGCCCCCTGCCAAGGCCGAGAGCCGCGGAGCAGGGTGCGCTTTGTGGGCCCCGGAAACGGCAGGGCCGTTTTTTCACCGTTTCCCCCAAAAAAGGTCCCTTGAAAATGGAAACGGCAAAACAAACGGCGACCGGAAACGGCAACAAAAACGGCTCCAGGATTGGAACGGGAGCCGGAACCGGTCAAAAAACGGCGACGGAACCGGTCAAAAAACGGCGTCGGAACCGGCAACAAAAACGGCAGAACGGAACCGGTAAAAAAACGGCCCTGTCGTTTCCAGGGCCCACTGAGGGTGCGGGGCTCCGTGGGCCGCGGGGGCGGAGAGCGGGGGCCGCTGGAGGTGTACAAGAAGTCTTCTCTGCGGCTTGCTACGCCGCGCCGTCTAGGCCTTGGTTCGTTCGGCGGCTCTGGCGCGGGGGCGAAGGTTCGGAAAGGGGGCGCGCAGAAATTGCTCATGCAAGGGGACGCTTGAGGCCATCATTGGGCCTTCATCGGTTGTCTTGGGCGCCTCGTAGGCCGTCTTGAGGCCATCCGGGGCCGTCCTGGGGCCGTCTTGGGGGTTGTTGTGCCTCCTTGGGGCGGTCTTGGGGTCCTTTGGGTCGTCGAGCGGCGTCGGCAGGCCGAAACAGGCAAAAGCGTCAAAAGCCTTCAAAAACCCAACCAAGGATTTGTAATGTTTGCATCTGGGGACCTTTCTTGGGACGCTTCTCGGAGCTCTCTTGGGGTCTCTGGGGGGCCTCTTTGCCCTTCTGTGGGCCATCTTGGGCACATCTCGGCCCATCTTGGGGCCATCTGGGCCGTCGCGGGGTGCTTTTGAAGCCTCCGCAGGCCTCCTGGTGCCCATTGGCGGCTGTCTTTGGGTTTTCTGAGGCCCCAGCCCCGCACCGGAACTCCGACCAGATCAGTTTGTCTCTGTGTAGAGGTACTCATGGTAGTAGCACAGCTGGATAGAGAGAGAGAGAAGAGAGAGAGAGAGGAAGAAAAAAGAGAGAGAGAGAGGGATAGAGAGAGAGAGAGAGAAAGAGAGAGAGAGAGATAGGGAACGAGAGAGAGAGAGATACAGAGACGACGAGGGCGACGACGACGACGACGACGAAGATGACGACGACGACGCCGACGACAAAAAGAACGACGACGACGACGACGACGGCGGCGGCGGCGGCGGCCTATTGCACGTCCCTCGCCTCCATTTCGCTCTCCATTGCCCCCCCCCCCCCCTCTCTTTCCTCCTGTCTGCGCCTCCTCCCTCCCGTTCCCCCTTCTGCTTTGCTCCTCGTGCTCCACCCTCCTCCCTTCTTCCTCCCCCCCTTTCTCCTCCCCCCCTCCTCCTCCAAGCTCTTCCTTTCTTCTCCCCCTTCTTCGCGGGGGCCTGCTTGTTCCTTTCAATCTCCTCTGTGGTGATGGTGGGAACCGCTATTTGAAGGCGTGGGCATCCGGTTGCCGTATGAGGCGGTCCAGGCAGCTTCGGAGAAGGCGAGGCCCAGCTGCTGGAAGGCACTCCGCGGCGAACGTACCTCGAACAGCGGAAAAACTCGTGGAAGACTGAGCCTCGAATCTCGTCCATACGGTGGGGCCCGTCGAGGTGTACGTTTGGATCGCGATCCTCGAGGGATGCGGATCCAGCCTTTGGTACGATAAAGGTTCTTGAGAGCGACAGGGAAGGGAAACTCACCAAAGCTGGTCCTCGTCCTGTTTTTCCTCCTCCTTTTTCTCTTCCTCCTCCTCCTCCTCCTGCTTCTCGTCCTCCTCGAAGTGGGATTGGCGAGCGGCAATCGCGTGCTCTTCAGGGGGCGCAACTGGACTCGAAAACACTTCTGGAGGGTCTTAAAGGACGGACAGGGTCGAGTGCTTTGGAAGCTCTAGAGGGCCTGCGGATGTGGAACACTGGAGGCTCTGAGGGGCTGTAAAGGCGTCTCTGGAGGTGCCTCCTAGAAGGGCTTCCAGAAGGGCTTCTAGGAGTGGGGCGCACACGACTCTAGAGAGGGAGAACGCTTGCCTCTGGAGGCGTGCGCCTAGAAGAATGTGCCTCTAGAGCATGCATGTTCCATCTCTGAATGTTCAGAAAGATCTATATCGGCGTCACGAGCAGGGCTGATCAGGGAGGAAGGAGGAGTCGCCCTGCGTGCAAAACGCTCCATGTATTGCGACGGTTCTGCTTTCTGGGCGGCCCTCCTCCCCCCTCGTCCTCCTTCATTGTCTCCCTTGTACATACTCTTCCTCGTCGCACCAGCAGAGTTGCCAGCAAGGCGTCCCAGACAGTTTATATATCGCAGCTGGAAGCTTCCGACACACACGCAGCGATGGAGAGCAGGTGGCCTTCAAAATACAAGCAACGATCAATGACGGGCCTTGCGCGAGATGACACAGCGGCCTTACGCCGCAGCTTACGCGGGCCGCTCACGCGGCAGGGCGCTTACGCGCGACCTCACGCGGGCAGCTTACGCGCCAGTGTCTGCGAAGACGACCCCGCCTTAAAAAACGTCGTTCGTGTGGCTCCTGCCCCATCACACCGTGCAACATCGCCGTGAAAACGCCGCGGCTGCATGGGCGGGCGGTCTCAACCACGCCTCGTCCTGGCCGGAAGCTGGCCCACCTTGGGTCTCCAGATCCGCCACTGCCCTGCGAGGCACTGAGGAGGAGGACGACGAGGACGACGAGGAGGAGGAGGAGGAGGAGGAGGAGGAGGAGGAGGCTCTGGAGACTCTGGATTACGACGAGGTGTGCCGAGAACGATGCACCAAGCCACAAAAGAAACTCAGACACGCCGAACACAGCGATCAACACAAGCGAAGATTGGAACAGGCCTGTAGAAACCACAACCAACCTTCTCTCCAGAGGGCCCTTTCCCTTGGATGAGGTACCTCCTCTTGAAATGCCTCGGAGAACCCAAGGGCGGCCTACCTAAACACGGCTTAGAAATGAGAAAAGCCCGCGAGACACACCTAGCAGCACATTCTGAACACCAGATCATTGGGCCAGTACGCCAGAGCTTATGGGACGGGTGCGCTTCTCTGACCCCTTTCGGGTCACCACCACACGGGAGCCCCGCAAGGTCACACCGCCGAGCACGGCTATCTCCGCACCTTCCGCACACCCATCGTCCCCTAAACCTATGAATGACATGTCCTCCATCTTCAGAGAGGACCACAAAGGAACTGCGATCTACTCTGCTGCTCTCATTCACCTGTGCATCATTCCATCCTCCTTTCTGACACAGCCGCAAGATGCGCAGCACACATCTCAAGGTGAGCGGGACAGCGGCCTCCCGTAGCTTCCTGACCTTCTCACTGGGCCTCTCGCGTTGGTGGCCGTCCGCCCCCATTCTCGCATAGTAGTCAGCACTTCTGTTCCCGTTCCAGTACGTCATATTGATTCCTTGATCAATAGCTTTGCTCCTCGTCATGTGCGAGGGGATCCACTCGAATTCAATCTCGTCAACTCCGATGTCTTGTGCAACCCGCCAAACAGTCTTCCACAGTTCCATATACTGATGCCCAGCCTGGCACCCGTATGGAAATCCCAACGTCCATGCTGTCTTGAGATCTTTGTAGTCAGTGACAATAGTGATGCGCCCTGCGGACTTGTGCTGCACGGCCTTTGTTGCGGCCCAGATTTCACCAGCACCTGAGGTCTGCCAGGGATACGGTGCAGGTCCCGAAGCCGCCGCCACAGTAGCACCAGCCTCATCAATCATGACAAGGGACCATCCAGCGCGTGCTCGAACTTCACAGTGTGGAAACATACAGCTGCCATCAATGCACACCACACCACTGATGAGTCCACTAACAGTGCACTTGTGCCAATTGATTATGTTCTCGCTGGTCGGCATCGGTGAGTTGAAGGCGGGGTCCTCCATCAAGCCTTTTGTCGTCATCATTGTGTGAGGATGTCGCTGTCCATGTTCTTTACGTCCCCATCGTAGCAAGGCACGTTCTTCCCCTGTCCAACTGAAACGCTCTAGCGCATGCCAGTCACATCGAAAAATACGATGAGTATCCGTGCCAGCTTCCACCCCGCACTTTGCACACAAGGGGCTATGCACTGCTCGAAATTGATGCAAACGCTCTTGGCATAAGAAACCTCCTGCCAACCAAGTACGAACGAGCCCAGCACCTTGGAAATCCTGCTGTGCCCTGAGCTGAGTGATGAAGCGCGTGGCAGGTTCAAGCAAAGGCGGGCCAGTGAGCCCTTCCATACCTCTAGAATGTGGTATCTCGCGAAGTAGGCGTCTTTGTGTACTTTGATTGACTATCTTCTTGAGCGTCGCAGGGCCTATGTCGTGTAAATCTAACTTCATCCCACGTTCGGTATGCCAACAGTCCCACGCCGTTGCCTTCCATCCCAGTCGCTTGAGAGTGAGCACCACTGCACCCGCTGGCCCTCGTACACTCCTCCATGTACCACCGTTGTTCTGTGCTTGCATAAAGGCCAAGGCCATCGCGCGGTGCTTCACCCACTGTCCGTGCATCGCTCTGAGCCAATATACCACAGGATATTCATCCGCCGCAAAGGTAGGATCAGCTCGGGGACAGTGGGATAGTTGAAACGCCATGGTTCTGCACCTGCCACGCGCTGATCCAAACAGAGCATGACCAGCTATGCTCCTAACTTGTTTGAATTGTGTATCTGACATCCCTTTCACCTTGA